CTGCAGGTTTACTGATCAGGCCGTGACGATCTTTAGGCACAATGTGTAAAACCCTTTGAGAGTACAGAGTTCGTTTTGCATTAAAAGTCGTAATGCTTGTAAATATTTGTTTATAAAATAACTTTTAAAGAGTTAATGATAATTGTTTTATCTTAGCCTAATTGTTTCATAAAAATACAAATATATTATTAAAAATTGATTGTTGAAGTTTACTGATGAGTTAATACTTTTAATTTGTAATTTAAACTGACTTTAAATGAGAGATTGATTAAGCGTTTGATCTTTCCTATATGACTTTCTTCATAATTACTAGCTCGCTAAAGTGCCCAAATAGAAATTCCTCAACCCACCTTCTCCGAGATCAATAAGAATATGATATGGGCCTCTTTTCGAATAATTTCCAGACTTGGGGTCGAGACGGTGTACTATTTCTGATATATTTTCCAAAAACGCCAGTCGAAATATTAATCGAGGTAAACGTTTTCACCGTGTCGTAAATACGATATTTCCCGTCAAGTCCTTTCGACCTTCGATTCAGTCAAAACACGTCTCGTAAATAATTTTTTTTTTTTGGACAGTCACCGACAGTAAACCTGAAAGAAACGCGGTCTCATGTGGCAGTGAGCGACCCCCACTCATAACATGCTTGGAGTTATATTTTGTTCTATTGGATTGCAACGTGCGTGCTCTTCTGCCAAAGGAAAATCGATATATCGACTGATCGAATAAACAAGCGGAAAAATAACTCCGATTAACTGGTAAATGGCCCAACAAAGAAAAACGCATGACTTAAAAATACACAGACATTACTTAACAAAGGGAACAGACTCGGTACTGCATAAACCTGAAAGTTCCCTTCAACACATTTCTTTCTTTTTTTTGCATTAACCTATTTTGATAATCAGTTAATTGTAAAAATTGATTTTTTTTTTCAATTTGCATTTAATTAATGTTTTGCGTGATACTTATTTGGTTTGTTTGGGCTTCGTCGACGTCCTCGGAGCATCCTGAAATTTCCGCTTCAAAGTTTGCTATGACTGCAAGATTCTTGAGCCTTATTTGTGGCCTCCACTTCTCATAATCAAAACAAGAATATTTACATAAATAAAATTATTATTTTAAAAAAGAAAGAGCGGAGTAAAGCGTACCTTTACAACTTTCATTTTTTCTTCAAATTTTCTGATTAGAACACTGAAGAAACCTATCGTCTAAAAATAACGTTCCTAGTCCAGTATAGAGATTTAACTAGAGATTCTCCTGGCCACATTTTATGGAAAGTACTATTTCAAAAAAACATAATTCACCAATTAGTATTTGCTAGTATTTGATATTATTTTAGTACACAAACTTTTTTGAAATTTATTCGATATGTTCTATTATGTGAGAATTGTTCTTGCAGCAGCAAATATTAGATCTTTTCTTCGAATTTTTTTTTATAAAAGAGAGTTGCTTTATTGTTTATATTTAATAGATATTTTGTTTTGAGTATACTTTCGTTGTATATTGATGTTGAATGTATTTATTAGAGTGAATCTTTAGTTTAGGGTCGGTGATAGAATACTGTATGCCTAATCGAGTCCCAATTAGATTAATTATATAATATTTATAAAATAAGAGAATAATTGTTAGAATATTGAGAACTTCATCACCCTACTTAAGTGAATGGTACATAAAAAAAAATTATTTAAGAATAAGTTAGGACAGTATTTCCCGACCTTTTCTCTGCCAAGTCCCAGTTTGACTTTTCAAATCATTCCTACCCCACCCCTCTATAAAATTAAAACGCTCACTGAATAAATTTAAAAATTATTGTCAAAATCACTATAAAATTGATAAAACAGTAAGCTATTTTTTTAACGTTGGAACGAATATGAAAGTTAATAAATTACGGGTAGTGTTTAGTGACCGTTAATTAGGGGATAGTGAGATGCGTTCTGGTGTTATGTAGGTTTAGAAAACATGTTTATAAATCCCAGATGCTGAAGATGATCTCAATAAAGATCGAAACGTTGGTACAATAAATAAAACGTATTTCTAAACCTACATCACACCAGACAGCACCCCACGATCTATAAATAATAGTTAATAAATTATTTGATCTGGAACTCAACTTGTGATGCTCTTCAATTTTTAAAATAAGTTTAATCACCGAAAAAAAGAGACGGTGATCGATATAAGATCGCATCAGAAAGAATCAATTTTTTTTAAATAGCGTTCGTTTGTGGTCGTTGGAACACGACACAGGAAATTCAAAACCTTTAAAAAAGGCATCTGGTAGATCCAAATAATACTTCGTCGCAAAAGTTACTTTCGCATTAGATCCAGAGTTGAAAAATATTTGCCGGATATTAATTAATAATCTAAAATAAAAAATAATAAATTTAAATGAAATTCGTAGGTCTGATAAAACGTTATTTTCTCCAGAAGAGAAAAAACTCACATATTTTTTGGTTTAAATTTTCAAATTTAACAAAATATTAAGTAAAGCAGTTTTCTTCGTGTAAATTGTAATCTTAGACAGTAAAATGATTTTTGGAATGTATTTCATCGTTTATTTATTCATCATCAAATATCAATCATTTTTCAAAAATCATCAAAAAGATCAAATCTCATTTATTTTCCTTCTGCTGATAAATCTTTATATTAGTCCGGAATAGCAAAATAATAATTAAGCTACTATATTACATGATTTGTCAACTATAACAGTTACTAAAAATCTAAACTAGTTATTTTCAAAATTGCCCCCCCCCCCTTAAAACTCAAATTTCCCCGCTGTGGGGCGTAGGCACCGCGGTGGGAAACACTTAGGAGCTTAAATGAGCTAGCTGATAACCCTCGAATTTATTGGTATTAATTTCATTTATTATTTGTTCTCAGTTGCAAATTTAGAAAAAAAATCTAAGTTTATGGTCCTCCGGGCCGGATTATCTAATCGTCTCAGATTATCTGTAATAACACTAATAACCCAAATAGTTTTCACTTAGAAGTCCATATTACCAGATCAGAATACCATCAAAGTTTCTTGAAAAGAAATAAAATAACTAATTACAATAAGTTTATTAATTAAATGTTCAAAGAACCTTAAAGGTTCTTTAATTTTATAAGGGCCAAAGCTCCCATCAAACTTTCATCAAATAAAACCCAATTAACTTACTTAAAACTTACTTTTTTATAATAATAAAAAATAAAGGCTTTTACTGAATGTTCTAAGTTGGAATTATTTTTGATTCTTTTCCTCCTCACTCGGTTGAAAGTGTAATCAGCGAAGACCAAACAAAGTCGTCACAAAGTTGCACTTATTCCGGCAGATGTAATCCGTCGAGAATTTTTTTATACCTACTTCATTTCTACGTCATTACAGCTACAAACGTTTCGAAAAGAGATCCCCAAACCCGCCGCCTTTTACAGCTGGTGTATATCAATGTAAACCATAAAAGCCCGGCTGATTTTGAGATTGATTTTGGTATTTATACCTCGCACACTCAAATCCTTTAATCTTTGAGGCTTTCACAGACATAGGCTTTATCTAAAGATTTAAAAATTCAACGTGAAGACTTTTGCTTTTCTCGAATTGTTCAAGAAAGAAAAACTCAATTGATTATTGTAAAAGGTTATTTAATTAAATGCCCAATTCAAATTTATTTAATTGTAATAAAACAAAAGGCGTGTTATTTTGTACACTATAACTTTCATTAAACTTTTTGTCTATGTTTTGAGCATAATTTTTCACTTTGGTTTATTTATTTTTTTTTTCAAATATTGTTATCAGACATTTCACAGTTTGTTCTATCATTTTCTACCCCTGCTTAGGTTAGCATGAGAATATTTATGTTACATACAAAAAATATGTTAGAAAACAATATATTGGACCTAAACAAACAGTGAAAATAAGCAGATCAGGATAACGGGTGATCAGCAAGGTGAAAAAATACCGACAAATTATAAAGTAGCTTTAAAATAATTTATAATTTTTAAGAACTAAAACTTATTTCAAACTAAAATAGAAGCAATAATGATAGCACTTTCTTTCCTTCGCGATCACGTGATGGGCGTAATTCAAAAAAACCTGAATCGTTTAATTTATGGTCCAAAATCAATTTTTATTAATATTCCGTTGTAAATAATAAAAAAAACTTAAAAAATATTAGAAAGTTGGTGTAAAATTTAACTTCGTTGTTAAAGTGATTATCCGTGAGGGGCCAAGTGGTAATGAAATTGTGAAAAAATTTACCGTATGTGAATGCCAAAGTGAGAAAGCAGCTTGGACTTGGATAGCAGACTTTACGCCGGTCCGATGAATAAGGGGCACCGTTTCAAAACTGTAATAATAATTAATAACGCGAATCAGTGCAAGTTAACAATTTAAAACGTTCAGAGGGGTTTATCGATTTAGAAAAAAAAGCCAGATACGCCCGACTCAACAGAGAGACAGAGAGAGAAGGAAATAGCAAAGAGGCTTTTTCTAATACCATATACTAGAGATTTATAAATAAAAGTCAGATACGCTTTGGACGACCTGCAAAATCAAAATGCATTCTCGTTAAAGAGCCTTTAACCGTGGCTCAGTTGACCTAGATCGGTTGTTTCTTTTGGCACGTAAATGTCCAGAACCGGTTCGAAAAGTCAATAATCAAAACGTTCGCACAGAATGCATATATCAAGTCTGAGAGGGCGTATTTTTACGACGGTCCACTTCAACTTTGAAATCCGATTTAATCTTTTTGCAAATTATGATTTTTCTTATTTGGTTAATAAATTATTAACTATGGACTAACAATGTATTCAGGTTTCGCGTCAATCTGAAGAGGTTTAAACAATTTTTTTAATGAAGTTTTCAAACCGTTGTATAAAGCTGTGAACCCTAGGATTGACTGGCACAAATGATTTAAATATTTTAAAATAATCTTTATATAGGGTTTTTTTATGTCGTGTATGTAAAATTTTAATCGAATTTAGAAGTAAACTAATAAAAAAAAGGCGTGGAAGTAATTTTGACTGACCTTTCTCTTTTTCATACTAGCGGATCCAGGAGAATTTAGGCACAAGCACTCGCGGTGTTAATCTCGGCACCATGCTCTCTGCTGAGCTCCTTTGGCTTTTTCTTGGTCCACCTGTTTGCTGATTTGTCCTGTGTCCTGGAGTTTCCGGGCGTGGATCCACTCGCGGCCAAAGACTCACGGCACACTGGCGACCGGATAAACTTGAAGGGCGCAAGCCCGACACCCAACCCCTCCCCGTTACACCACCCCAATTATAATATCGGATTACCGAGGAGGAAATTTATCCTCTTTTTTTTACAACCAGTAGTTCTATTGAAACTTGAAGTATATAGTGAATAAAATAAGTCGGGTCAAGCTCTGGAGGCCGACGTCCAAAGTTGAACGTGTCCGGACGAACTTTGGACAATTTTAACCGAATCGGCCCATTAATTGACATTTAACGATCAAATATTAAACTCTAAAAGAAAACTCGTGTTATAAAAAACAACAAACAAAAATTTCAACGATTAAAATTTCAAAAATTACCCCTTTTAAATAAATGTTATTAAACATAGTACTTACTTCTCAGACGATTATTGCCATTAATTGAAAATTCTAGTTAACGTACTATCTCATACTGAGATCTGACGGACCGATTTTGCCGAGTCCGTCAGGGAACTGAATTCTCACCTTATAGACGCATTAAAGCGGGTGTTCCTCAGGGAAGCATACTTGGGCCATTTCTGTTTTCAATATACATTGAAGATATTCCTACACATGTTAACACTTCAACATTCTCTGATGATACGCTATCCTTACATGTAATTCAGACCACTCAACACTTACAGCAATACTTGAATGAATTAACGGTATGGTTCACAAAGTGGAGAATAAAAATAAACTTATGAAAAAGCGTATAAATTTTACCTTACGTAAAAATATCTGTCCTGCAGTGAGTATAAATAGAATCCCATTGTGCGTTATCTTTTCATGGATAAACGACTGACTTGGACTCCCAACAGAAGACTGAAAAGACAAACAAACCGACTTTATATATTATTAAAAACACTACTTGACTCACGATCAAAATTAGACATTGAAAACAAACTTTTAATCTACAAGACAATTATTAGACCTCTCTGGGGGTACGGTTGTGAAGTGTGGTGCTCAACCAAGGTTTCCACTTCGCAACATCTCCAATTCCAATTTAAAATTCTCCGTCAAATTATAAATGCTCCTTTTTACAGTATTCTTAAGGAACTACACATCCCGTTTGTACATGAACTCATCAAAACCCGCTATAAAAAATTTCATCGATCACTGAACACACAATATATTACACATTTATCACTTCCAACCCTACCTGAAAATCCTCCATGAAGCTTGAAGCGAAAGTGGCCCCGAGACCTCCTCATTGAGTGAAGATTGAAAAGATTTAAAGTGTGAAGGAGTGTTGTCACTGGGCAACTTCTCCTACAAGAGACTCAAATTACAAATTCATCATATATGAACATATTTACTTAATAAAATATCAACTAAATGTAATTAAAAAAATAAAAACATAGTACCACTACAACTAACACCATCAATTATTACTAAAAACACTACAACAATTCGATCGAACACAAGACAAACCAACTTACATATCCATGTCATTCGTTCACGGCCTATCAGACAAATTAAACAAATTTCTCTCTTCTGATAACTTTAAAAAATCCTTCAAAAACTACAAAACTATCACACTTTTTTCCAAACTTAAAGATCCCACACCAGTAACAAATAAGTCTAATGTAACTTACAAAATCAAATTGTTTAAATTGTCTTTGCAACTTACGTCGGAATTACATCCCGATAGCTGGATAAGAAGGTAAACGACATATCTATGATTGGAAAAAACCTAAAAGGGGGCGTCGGTGGCCGCGGTTTAGGCGTTGACACGGCGCTCATCACTGTAAGGTAAAGGTCCCGGGTTCGAATCCAGCGGCCCTGAATTCCGACAAACTTAGAAATGGGCTTTTATTCAAAAACACCGGCACCCTGAGGGTTGATATGGCCTGTTGGGAACTCTCGTAAAAAAAATTAAAAATATTTTTAAAAAAATAATTAATTAAAAATAAAAAAATCTTAGAGCATTTTGAACACCAACACAATTTTGATTTCGACAATCCAAAAATATAAAACAGAACAAAAACATAAACGTGACTATTTATAAATGGTTTACATCAACAGAGATAAACGCAGCAACAATTACTGAACGGACACATGTAAACTCATTCGCAGCTATGCTAATATCATAAATCACATTCGATTTCAACAGCATACATATAACACAAAAAACATATAAAACAATCATTACACTCCATACACCAAACAATTTTACATAGCTTAATTCTTCAACAATTTATTTCTCCTTTCCGTAATAATCCCCGTCTATAATAATCCGGAAAAGCTAACCAGAAGCCGGCTTCGTAGACAAATGAATTTCTATCCCGACTTCCTTCAATCAAACATATATAAACAAAAAATATTAATATCTCTCTAACACTCTCAACACGACACACAATAATTACACATCTACACAGAAAACACACTTTCAGTGAGTGCAAACCTAAAAATTTATATATTGTGCACATCCTTGTATAAATGCATTTTTTCACATCTTACATGTATTTGTATAATTTAAACAATGTTTATAAATCCCAGGCCCTGAAGATGATCTCAGTAAAGATCGAAACGTTGGCACGATAACGAAAATGTTTTTCTAAACTTACATCACACCAGACCGCATATCACGATCTCTAATAATCATAGCTTAAACTCATTATATTTAATGGTCTGATTAACCAAATTACATCTTTCAATTAATTATTTTTTATATGTAAAGTCTTGATTAAAATAAAAAAGTTAGCGTCACGAGCGGAATTCGAACCCACGACTTTCGGCTTAGTACGCCGCTGCTGTAATCACTTGAGCTATCGTGACTTCGATCCACTCGGACGCCACCAAATGACAAAAAGGACTGAAAATTCGAAATGTTGTAGGGTGGGATGGGGAGTTGGTGTCCTAGTGGATTGAAGTCACGATAGCTCAAGTGGTTAGAGCAGCTGCGTACTGAGCCGAACGTCGTGGGTTCGAATCCCGCTCGTGATGCTATTTTTTTTCTTTTCAATTCAACCAGAACCTCCATACAAAGAATAATAATTGAAAGATAGTTCAAACTCTTCATCCAGTGCTGTTTCAGCACCAACTCAAAATAAATTTTCCATCCCATCTCCGTTCGGAGGAAGGGTTACTTCGTTTTTCAATCCTCCGAAATAAAGCCGCATTGCAAAATTTGAAGAATTTCCATCGGTCGACTATTTCGTTTGAGTTTTTCTGCGAGTTGGCCCAATTGGTGAACATCTGCCAGTGATAGGTCTGGGCAATAAGTGGATGAATAAGGTAGAGTCCCGGAATAATTTTTCCAATGCCGCTTCTGACAAGGATATCCGGGATTGATGTGTAAAGGAATTCGTCGATTTTTTTTCTTTATTAACTACATTTTTCTCTAGGGCAAGTATTCTCGAAGAAATCCTTTTGAACTTTAATCAAAAGTACCTGCCAAAGATGACTTAGTAAATTAAGTGAGACTCTATCTCTAGTTGTCAATTAATATATTAAAAAACTTATTAGCTATAATCATATACAAAGTAACTAATTAATATAATGCAGAAAAGATTAAAATTTACAAATGTAAAGTGACTTGACTTGTCACTTAATTTAATTAAAAATATATTAAGACAACAATTTTCAATTTTTGTAATTTAATTAAACAAGGTTTTTTTCACAAAACTATAAACGCAAGTTAAAAAGAAGAATCTTTGCTAAATACTATGAGAAAGAAAACTGTTATATAAATTAAATAAACATTTAAATACAACAATTTTTAAATCTGATCAATAAACAAATAACTAACAATACACCATAAAAAATAACTTCTAATCTTAAATATCACCTTCAATTAATTAAGGTATTAGTTGAGATAAAAAGTCAGTGTCACGAGCGGGATTCGAAACCACGACCCTCGGCTAGATACGCCGCTGCTCTACCGATCAAGTGGTAGAGCAGCGTATCTAGCCGAAGATCGTGGGTTTGAATCCCGCTCGTGACACTGACTTTTTTATCTCAACTTAAAACCTTAATTATTTGCTCAATGTATATTTTGTATCGATAGCAACAAATAAAATAAATTCAATTTTAAATGAAAGATTATACTTATAAATTTCTTATTGTATAACATTTTATTTATTATAATAGGTTTGAAATAGACTCCTTAACCAAACTCCTTCGATCACAAGAAAATAATTTAAAAAATGGTTACGTCAAGAACTAGTTCTGAATCAGTTCATCAATCATCATTCTTCTTATTAACTTTAAAGCAATTTATAGAGTAAAAGGTAGAAAAGAACCTCTATATATAAATCGAAACACCTCGCTACTAACCCCAGCCTCACTGTAGAGGAAATTGACGAACTCTTCTCCCAAATGTAATCATTTATATGACATTCCCAACATAACTTCGGCTTAAAACAACCCTTTGTCATTGCGCGTTATACATTTACATTTTAAGCGTCCACTGCATCAGTAACAGTTTACGTTTCCTATTAAAAAAAGCAATTATTTCGGCAAACTTAGAGATTGAAGGGGATGGTCGACTGTGAAAAAGACGTCGTGATATTCTCTGGTTGTAAATAGTTATGGGAATGTTTACACTTTCTGGAATAGTGGTCAATTTCATCGTTGTATGTTTAATGGACCGTGCGGAGGTTTTTAAGGGGGAAGAGGAGATCGCTTAGAGTTTATCACTATCGCTTCGCCATTGACCCTGAAGCCATCCTTTAATGGGGAATGAAAAAACTCTGTTAAATTTTCAACACGTAATTAATACAAAACGTGTTTTCTTTAAACTAGTACCAAATATTTTGTTTTTTCTGTCATAAAGAAGAATATGTTGGAGTATGTTGATTCTAAAATCTATCGATTTCTATACGTGCTGTTGGGTGTCCAAACAAGAGGTTCAAACTACTTCGTGTTGAACAGCTCAGCGGGTTGACTCGAGGTGAGAAGAGAAAGCACTTATCTAGATTTTTGAGAAGAAGAAGTCATAGAAGTTATCTTTGCAGTGTCATAAAGATCTAGCACATACATCCACCCTAGGAGCTATAGCCCTATCATGTGGAACTACGGCAACAACGGGTGGTATAGTGTGGT